AGTTATTTCAATCAAGCACAAATTTACTTTCATGTTACATGTCTGTCCCGTTGGTCGGCTATCAAGCTCTCTGTGTGAAACTGACAGATCTACAGGAGGACCTACCCTAAGGCTGGCAAGTGCTAAGCCTTTACCATCTATCCCATATCTCCTCGGTGAAAGAGTCTTGGGTTCACGGCTCACTGGCAGGCTTACTTTCCTTCGCCTTTGACCTTTGATTTGGTCTTGCCCTGGCCCTTCGAAGCGCCTTTGGCCTTGCCCTTCTGTCGATTTACCTCTTGTCTTTCTTTTCTGCTCCTGCACCTTTCCTTCTTCACAGGGAACGGAACGTATCGTCTTCGTTCACTGGCCGTGGTGCGATTTTGGCGGAATGTGAAGAACAGAATGGTATGGCTGCCCTTATCCTGAGGACCCAGGAACAGAGTCTCCAGCCCAGCATACATCAGGAATTCACTGACATTGACAATGTACTCATAGTCGGCTGGAGGATGTTCAGACCATTTGTCTAAACTCTGGCTATGTCCCCATTCCATGATGCAAGCAACCATGCAATCTCCATTGGGCGCATCAGGAGGATATCTGTCTACAATCTCATTCCAGGGACGGCCAAAATTAGTCTCAAATTACCGAACGGTCTTTGTGGTATTACCTGAGGTGAACCTGAGCTTTGGGCTTACATTCAGGTCGCCTCCTTGGCATGAAATATAGGCATCCCTGAAAGGCTTGAAGACCTCCTGAAACAAGGACTGCTCATTGGAGGATGACTTCTGGTTGCTGCCTCCAAAGCGGTATGCAGAAGAGTTTCCATCACCGCCAATGATATCCACCTGATAATGGAAGCAATCGGCCACCATAGAACTCAAGAGTTCTCCACACAAGGCACGAGCAGCCATAGCAGTGTGACTGTCCAGGTGGCTGGCGGATAGTGCTGGCTTCTTGCAAGAGCAAAACATCGGAGCTGATATTGGAGAGGAAATGGAGGAACAGACTTCCACAGGTACATGTTCCTGTCCAATGGAAGCATTGCGGAGTGGAGCGCTTCCTTGATCTCTCCCAATTTCCAAGGTTCAAAACACGAACTGACAGATGACCCTGGCTCCTATGAACGGTCCTATCCCTAACAGCTTGAGTAGGGGCTGGTGCATCAGAGGAACTATTTGGACCAGGGGCATCAGCTACTTTATGAAAGGCGTATCCCTTGGTAGAACCTGCTGAAAGCAAGGCGGCGCAAACTTCTGCAACAAGCTGGGACCGGAGCATGGGACCCTTAGCCTTAGCATTCTTGATTTTCTCAAGGCGTTCCATGGCGTCTCGTCTCTCTTCATGAGACTTCTGCACTTCTGTATCATCATAAATATCCCTAAGATCACCTGCTCTGTAAACCATAGTGTTATACATTGCAGAGGGCACCCTTTGCCAAGGTTCAAGCTTTTTCTTGACAATTTCTTGAATAAGCTTCTCCTCATTAAGATGATACTTGGCATGAGGATGCATGCAAGGGTGCACAGGTGCTCCAGGAGGATGATAGGTCATAGCACAATTGCGATTGCAGAATGTCGGCAGGCAAGGGCATGGGAAGTGCGGAAGTAATGACCCCAAATTCCCCTGCCTCTGTGATTTCTGCCAGAGTACTCATCTATAACCCTAAATGGGGACCCATTAAACTCCATCTCAGAATCATTTGGAGAAAGGACATCGCCATTATCATGGGGAGCTTCTTTTGAGTGCTCGGCAACGCTTGCAAGGAAATCCATAACGCCGGCTTCGTTGGTTTTGTTGTCTTCGTCAGTAGGAACGTCATCGGCCTGCACCTCACTGACCTCTCCAGGGCTGAAGAGATCACCTGCAACGATTTCTTCTTTTTCTTCTTCCTCACCAGTGATGGCAGGCAGCTGAAAAACTTCTGCGAAGTTGTAGACTACCTCACCGGTGGGTGAGCCTGTCTCTTCCTCTTCCATGTCGCACATGGTTTCTTCTTGATCACTCATAATTTCATCACCAGGCTCGGTGGTGCAGTCATCCATGTCATCCTGCACTGGTTCCTGACGCGCGAATTCTGTCTCTAGAAATGTACAATAACCCGAGAGTTCCTTGTACGCGCGAGAGACAAAATTGCTCTTGGGCGAAAACTTTGAACGTTTGCATTTCTTATAGATGAGCTGCGGGTCACACTTGATGGCAAAAGGGGAGTCATCGAATGTCTCTCCCGTAGATTTGAAGTGGACTGAATATTTTCGGCGCTCAGTCTCGTCACCTCTGTGCTTCGAGATGTGAGAAAACAGATCTCGGCTGAAAAGTTCGTGGCATATCTCAAGAAGAACATCAAAGTCCTCTTTAATATTTTAAATACCTTCGTAAAACTTCTGACTGAGGGCTTTGTAGTCTCTAAGTTTCTCCTGGTACTTAGTCATGGCCTCCATGTACCCTTCTTCGTAAGGCTTTATCTTAGGCACTACAGGCTCCTCGCCTCTGGCTAAGGCTTCAGGAGGTGTAGTTTTATCTAACCCCCAGAAGAAATTGGCAGAGTCCATGACTAGGCCAATGCTGCCTAGGTCAGGGAACCTTGTGGGCAAAGGCCAATAGAAATACCCAGCATTGGGTTTAATTGTTCTTTCCAACGCAACACTTCCCCAAACTCTGTCTAACTCAAAGGCATCCAGGAAAACCTTAATAAGATATCCTGACAGAGGATGGCACATCCACTCAAGCTTGTCTGCAACATCAAGCCTGTTGCGAACTCCCTCAGGAAGACTTTGGTACTCCATCAAATGCACACGTGGCTCACCATGATCCCCACGAGCCTCAACCTTGGAGCCATCCCTTCCTTGAATCCAAAGCTTGGTAAACCCTTTCTCCCATAAATACCAAGGATTGCAGGTAACTACATTGACAGAAGAAAGGAACCGAGAGAACTCTTTGGCATTCTCATCTCGCGTCTTGAGGACGCCGTCTATCTCATCGGTGGATGAGTCTGGCGGCCTGACACGAGTTGGAGGCGGCGGCATAGGTGGCTCACGAGGGATTTGATTGCGATAGTGCTCAGGCGGTGTGACGTAGAGCGGCTCCAAGTAAACCCTTGGAACCTCACTAGTAGCGAGTACCACACCGTTGGGTGTGCCTCTCAATTGGAATCCGTCTTGCAGGAATTTCCTGTAATTACGGTTCCAATAGTGGATGTGTCTTAGGCTGCGTGACACCACCAGCATACACAAAGTGCACGCCAACACGCCCCTTCTCATGGCCAAGCCCATGGGAAAACGGAGAAAGAACCAAACCGTGAGCATCGATGGAATCATAATTCACGTTGGACGAGGCATGAAAAATGTAGCACATATCACTGCATGTCTGAAGATCCAGTAGCTCACCAAGTGCTGAAGGGTCATTGTTCCTTGGCAGGCTACTATGTCCCTGAACAGCCCTGACCTTGATATGGAACCCTAAATCTTCTATTCCAGCAGGAAACATCTTCTTGGGAGAGATGTTGAAGATAAACCGGGCCCTATCATTACAGGTTAGGGATGCCAGGTAGGACACTGCGTCTACATCGTGATATGGTCTCAGCTTCGTCCAGGGATCAGTAAAGGCTGCTACTTGATGCAACGAGAGGTGAAGAGTACTGTCAAGGTCTGCAACGTGATTGTGACGCAAGGTTTGAGAGTGCAGCTTTGACAGCTTGTAAGACTGAGAATGCTTCCCCTGCTGCCTTTGCTGGCGAGCGCAATCTTGGTACTGCCTATTGTAGCTGCGCTGCCAACGCACGATTCTTTGCATGAGGCTTACCTGACCTACGAGAACAGAGGGATATGAAAGCTCAATGCGATGTGCCCCAGGGATATCCCGCCGGAGAGCGGGTCTTCCCTCTCACTGTGTTGTCCGTCCATGCCACGGAACCATGCACTGTTCACAATATGCTCAGAGTAATCGGGTTCATCCCAACGTAGGGAACACCGAAACCTTTCAGGGCAGGGCTCAAAGGCGTGGCTTCGGACGACATCTCGCCGGTGAGCAAGTCCTCGTCCCGAGCTGACTGCAAGTGCTTGAATGACAGACAGTGGCTGAGGAGACGCAGGCACAAATTTTGTCTCCTGAAAAAGGAAAGCTACCTACACGGAAGTGTAGCCTGCTTACTGATCACAGACTTCCTAACATGAGGCATATTTCCTTACACATCTCACGAAGAAGATTCAGTTCCTTAGTCAACCAAGCAAGTGCAGAAGCCTTTTGCTCCATCAAAGACTTAAAGGCAGGATGAGAATCAATCTCCTTGACGTCGCCACTCGTTACAGAATCTACCAGGTTCTTACAGCTAGCACTGGCCTTAGTTAGACAGTCAGCTAAACAGCGCTCTGCGCGAACATGAGAAAGATCTGCAATTGCACCTGAGCAAGCTTCTTTCCTAAGCATTTGAATCATGTGAATGGTTTCTTGCTGCTCTGGAACATGAGTAGTAGAGGCCGTAGTAACCAAATTATTGGCATCTGTGCGCGTGTGAATGCAAGCATCAGCGCCAGAAATGTCCTTCCACAAACCTCTCAACATTTGACACGTACCAAAACAGTTCATCAAAGCACACAACTCAGCAACAGTAGTACTCAAAGTAGTCCGCTTGATTTTGGTCGACTCAAAGAACACAAGCGAGCCCCGAGTATCACGACTACTGTTGTGAGGCTGTTGAGCGACAAGAAAAACAGTCATTCCACGTTGCGAAGGTTTATCTGAATCCGGCATCAGGAATTCCGAGGATTCGCGGATCGGTTTTCAACGGCCATAAACGAAGCTCGGAAGGTTCATTCTTGATTTGACGACGCAGCTTATTTAGTGCCCGGCAGTCTCCTATTGTGGGTGAGGCAGAGGCTGAAGCACAACGGGAGAATTGGTAACAGGCTTGGAACTGAGTTCTAGACTACTTCTTCTTCTTGGTTTTGTCATCAAACACCCATCCCGGAGAATAGGGGAGACACTGCTTCTGAAAGGCACGGATGTTCGCCTGCGTGGCGGCGAGGATCATGATGCGCCACACATTCTCCTTGAGCGTGGAGAGGGGGATCAAGGCAACGGCAAGTTGCCTGAGGAGCGAGTTGTCGCCAGGCTCTCACAGGAAGCGGTGGACGGGCTGACCCGAATGAAGAACGAAGGTTTAGAGCGGCAATGC